CGGAGGTGTAACAATATAAATATTTTATTTCAGAACTAAACAGTTTATTTTCTTACATTACGAGGTTAAAATGAAAGTTTTTACGCTTTGCAAAAAAAAGTTTCCGAACACTACTATTATTATTAATTTTTGTTTTAATATACGATAGCTTATATTCTAATGAAATATTTATTAAATCTTGTAAGACCAATATATTTTTAATTTCTATACTACGTGACGGTAGCATGATAAACCACTAAATAGAAACTAAAACATTACCGAGAAAAAAATTTAAAAACGTATTGTTTAACATGTGCGATTAAATTTATCTTTTGCTGAAAGTAAGAAAATAGATAGGTTTTAAAATATGAAGATATTCCAAACTAAGATATTCTAAAAGACAATAAATTGAACTTGAAACTAACAATTCAAATTTCCATAATATACTAATAGTAGTACAAATAAATAGGATTTCACGTTTTCATCAAGTTATTTTCAGGTATTCGTAAAATCAAAATGGCCACTTCCAGCAAAGACGTGAAGACTTATTCTGGTTCAAATTTTATGCGACAGCGTCTTATACTTGCTACCCTTACTGGTAAACCTATCAAGGTAAAAAACATAAGAGCCAAAGAAGAGGTTCCAGGTATTAAAGGTGAGAAAGTTAGTTGAACTTGGAGTGTAATGAATTGGTAAAATAGTAGTATAACTGTAACTTGATAAGCCATACCAGAAACTAGCCCTACAACAGTACAAGTTTCAATGTACAACTTCAAATTTTAACTTAAATTAAAGTTTAAGTAGTGCAGGGATCTACCAGTACTAGTACAGTAGTAGTAGTAGTACCAGAAACCAGGCATTATTTAATTTTGTAATATACATTTTTTATTTGGGAGGATTCAGGGGAACTATCCAATATTTAATAATATTTTTTATATGATAAAATTACTATAAAATCTTTTAACTTCAAGTACTTGGTTTTAGATTACATAGTTTATCCACAGCTGAGTATCGACTCTATGGACTGTAATAGCAATAATAAAAGAGATCCGTTGCCCACTAGAAACTAGAGCACAGCTTTTGAGCATTGTTTAGTTGCTACGTAGCTGCTTTAGTAATGGTTTTGAATGAATATCTACTATATTGTTCAATACCGTATATATATATATCCATGTCAGTGTAAATTACTTTTACCTGATGATGACAAAACCTTGTCGAAATGTTGTACA